GGCCAGGGCCCCGCAGGCTCCGCCCTGTGGCCCGCCGTGGCCCCGCCCCTCGCTGCCCTGCAGGCTGCTGGGGCGCCTTCCCATCCTGCTGCTCTGATTGGCAGCGGAGAACCCAGTCCCAGGCCCGGCCACCAGGTGGCGCTGACATCCCGCGGGGCTCTGCTCACAGCCTCGCCTCATCCTGGCCAGGGGCCTGGGGGGTCTCTGGCGTGGGCCTCAGGAAAGGGTCTTCTAAGCCGCTCAGGGGGTTTGGGGTTCTTCTGAAGAGAACATTTTAGGGTTGTTTGCATGGCTCCTACCCTCCTGATCCTCCCGCTTGTCTGTCTCTTCAAACGACAGGCTAACGGGCAGTCCCCGCGTAGCAGAGCCAGGGCCTCGGTTCGCTGGCCCTTCCCATTGCCTGTGTCATCTCACAGCTATTTCTCTGCCGTCGTGGTCCATGCGTCAGGATCCGCCACGGAAACTTCGTGCCTCGCCCTCACCAAGCCCACACCCCTTCCCCTCCTGACCCCAAGGCTGTGCAGGCCTGTCCTGCCAGCACATGTGTGTGTGCATGTGTCAGTGTCACGCACATGTGTGTGCTTGTGTACGTGTGTGTGCCACGTGAATGTGCGCGCGCACGGTGTGCGTGCGTGTGCACGCATGCAGAGCTGCACCAGGTATACTGAGTGTTTCCCTCTGCGGCTCTGGATGTGATTGTAAAAGCGGAATTCAGTGTGGCCTCTGCGAGCCAGGAGGTCTGGCTGTGTCTACAGGGGAGTTTCTGAAGGACACTCGCGTCCCAGTTGCTGGGAACACGTGTGGGGGGGTGCCCTTTGCTCTCCACTGGCTGGGGGGCGGTAGGGCGATCGCCTCCTGAGGTCATGGGGTTATAGCCTGAGCTGTGGTCGCCACATTGGCAGCTAGGAGCCTGTTAGCAGCCTCCTGTCATGGCACAGACCCAGTTCCTCCCTCAGGAGCCGGGGGTGGGGGGCGTGCGGGGGGCTCCCTCTGACTCTGGGGTCTCGCTGGCTCCTCTGCCCTGAGGCAGGTCCGTTGGCGGCCACTGCAGGGAGCTCTGCACACGTGCCTGTTCAGCTGCAAGCGGTCACCCTGGAAGGCATGTCCGAGTCACTCCTGCTTAGGACTTCCAGGTGCGCACGCTGGTGCTGCAGCAGTGGGCGTTCCTGTTTCCAGGTTCCCACCCTCCCTCCCTTCCTGGGCCACAGTGCAGCGTTGGCCGCTGGTTCCTGTGCCCGCAGCTCTCTGACACTCCCTCTGAGGCCCCTGTGCCCGTGGAGACCCCCAGCTGGTTCTGGAGCACAGACTTGGTCACCTGCTCCGTGGCCCTGTCTCCTGTGAGCAGCAGAGGTCCCTGGGGCCTAGGAATCCCTCAGGACACGATCTCCCCCCTCCCCCCGGCCGCACGTGGAACATGGTGCCACGCACTCCTCTCGTGCAGCCTTGGTGCCTCATGTGTTGCTTTTTTCTTTGAATTGGTTTTTAGAGAGAGAGGAAGGGAGGGGGAGAGAGAGACATCAATGGGTTGCCTCCTGTACACACCTCTCCTGGGGATCGAGCCCACAGCCTTTTGGTGTCCAGGACAACACTCCAATCAGCCGCGCCCCGGCCAGGCTGCACACTCGTTATTAATACACAGCGGGAGTGTTAAAGTCACTGCGTCACTATTCACTGGCTCATCCAATCTCCAGTGTCCTGAGTGCTTACTGTGTGCAGTGACGGGGGGCGCTGGTGAGTCCGGCCCCTTGCAGGGGGACATGGGGCTCCCACGCTGGCCGGAGGCACCCTCAGGTATGCTCCATGGAGAGCCGCAGGCCACAGACTCGCCGGCCTCTGGCCAGCTGCTGGGAGGGAAGGACCCACAGAAAGAGCCAGCAGGGTGACCGGACGGTAGGAGGCGAAGCGCCAGCTGTGGCCCTGCTGTGTCGTCCTCTCAGATACGTCGCCTGACCGCGGAGACACAGATTTGAGCGTTCAGAGGCTGGAGAATAAGTATCAAATAATTTAATAGCCTCCCGATGTGTGGGACTTTCCTCAGCAGTTTCTCAAATACATAGAACTTCAGGCAGATGGTGTGGCCCCCGGGGCAGCTGTCACAGCTTACAAATGAGGAAGCCTCCAATTCCAACTGATTTTAAATTCAAGAACTTGACATGCAATATAACTTCTTGTGAAGCATGACAAAGTAGATGAGTTTTTGTGAACAAAAGTAAGATAATTAACTTAAAAATTACAATAGTCAAGAAGTGCTGGTAGAATGAGTGACCTCGGGCGTAAAGTGAGAGCTTGTATCCTGGCATCGTGCAAACTCAAACATAGGGTTGGTCAGTTAAGAAAGCAGGACTGAGTTCACACTCTGTTGGCTACTCCCAATAGCTCTTCGCTCTCCTCTGCACAGCTCAATTCCTCCCATTTTTTGGCAATGCGGCGACAGCGCGGGTCAGACATTCCAGGAAGAAGGGCAGGTGAGCCTGCGGGTCATCCAGGTGTGCAGGGTGGGGTGGGCAACAGGCGGGGGCGGGGCGGAGAAGGTGGAGGTCTCTCTGGTGCCCAGGAGAGCAGTGGAGAGGGTCCCTGTGAGAGGGGAGGGTCTGCCATGGGGCCCAGTCGGCCGCGGCTGGTGCCCCACCAGGAGGCGCTCTCAGCGCCGCGGACACTCTCCCGCGCAGGTGGGCTTTGGGACAGAGCCAGCCCCTCCCAGCCTCCCAGGAGACCCCAGGAACGAGCCAGTTAGTGGCCGAAACCACTGAGAAACTGGACATTTAAGAACGTGATTTGAGGCTCCCTTCCCTGTTTGGGGAAGCGCAGCTGGGCTGCAGGTCAGGCTGTGGGCAGACACTGGGCACTCAGGACCCCCTGGCCCAGGGCTCCTGTGCGGGCGCAGGAGAGACAGACCACGAGGGGCTTTAATTTATACCGACCGGCTCCCTGACCAGGGCCCGCTGTGCCGGGGCCATGGCCTTGGCCTGGAGCCTGCGGACTGAGCAACAGCAGCGCGTGCAGGGGAGGGGAGCGCCGTCACAGCTGTACTCACTGCACCGGGTCCCCAGGTGGAGCCATGACGGGGCCCCTCGTGCAGCCCTGGTGCCGAGGCTGGAGCGGGTGGGGGTGGCCGGAGGCACCTGCAGGCTGGGCAGGGCACAGGCTGTGCCTGGTGTGGAAGGACTGGGGCCGGGGGTCCTGGCACTTCTCGGGCAGGCATGCACGCTCTGCACTACCCTGGACACACCTGTCTGCAGCCTCGTCTCCAGGCTGTCAGCACGGGAGGGGCAACCCCACGTCCCATCACTGTTTCCTCCCAAAGACACGGCACCACTCACATCAGGGTCTGCTACCAAATGCATTTGCTGCAGGCTTGGAAAATCTTCCTGTTCATAGGCTTTTGGGTTTTGAAACTGGCATCAGAGGGTTACGAGCCTGTATTCTGTCCTAAGGACTTGGGGGCGGCGAGGGGGAGCCGTCAAGTGCAAAGTGGCTGCTTACAGCCTGGATGGAGGCAGGAGGAGGGTGAACCCCTCTACCTCCTCTGACCCCATGCAGCCACTTCTCGAAAGTAGGCCAGCCTCACTCCGGTCACGCCGCGTCCACTGACGCGGACCTGGCGGCCGGTGGTGGCGGCAGCGTGGGGGCCAAGGTCTGTGCTTGGGAGCGAGGTCACCCGCCGTCCCAGCCTCCAGACCAGGCGCTCAGTCCCAGGCCCCAGGGGGTCACAGTCCCACGTGGGCCTCGCCCTCGACAGGACCCTGTGGTGGCCCCGGCTGCGCCCCATCCAGGTGTGTGCTGTGTCCTGTTTCCTTCATTGGAATGCCCCGTGGCTTTTCTTTCGGGCATCTTTTTATAAACCTAAGGTGGGGGTCAAGCATTCCAACAACACAGGGGATAAATACTGGCTTTCATTTCCGTCACTTCATTCGTGAAGCCCCGTGGGAGGGTGCTGGGGGACGCCCACCTCCAGGAGCCGGCCTGAGCGCAGCTCCCCTTCGCACAGGCACCTGGTCCAGAGCACGGGCCTGTACTGTCGTGTGTTCTTGCCTCGGCGCTTCCCGGCAGGGACAGCGACAGAGCTACAGGTGGCCAAGTGCTGTGGCTGGCTGAGCGCCGGCCCCTCCCCCGGGACTCAGACCCGGTCGGGGGCACGCACTGTGCC